AAGTGCCTTTTCGAAGTATGTTATTTCAACGTAATCACGCCTACTCAAACTAATTCAGTAGGCCAACAGGATAATATTCTTCAAATGTGGCTGCAGACCAAACCCTACCTGAAAACCAATCTGAGCATTTCCATTTAGTACATGACCAAGGAGTGATTGTCGTGATGGTCGCTTTGTTTGTCTCCCTCCATATACGACATCCAGGTATCATCTTCTGCTTCGCCCTATAATTAGAAAAAATATATAACGGACTTTTTAGGGGAAATGCTGAAAAGTTCCCCTCCACAGAAATCGTCCAGTCTTTTTATTTACGTCTGATATGGATTCATAACTCTTGATGATAGCATGCACAAATATCCCTTGGCCAAATTTTCAAAAATTCGGTGGCCGCGGTGGCATTCGAACCCACGAGTGCAAGGGCAAGGCGTGAGCACAGCCAACATGCTAACCACCTGAGATACGAGGCCCACCGGGAGCCGTGAATTAAATCACTTTTTGGCCAATTTACACAACTGGGTCAAATGGATTATTCACATCGACCAGACCAGCACGTTTATATGGGAACAGGATACAAGTCAGACATGTGAGTGATTAGAGAAATCAACCAAAGTTCGTCCTAAAACACAGATGGGATGAGAGTAGAAGGAAGTTGCATGTGGTTAGTTGACCTGGACCACGCTAAGCGCGCAGAAGCACCTCATTCATACTCGGCACGTATCATGGCCAAAAGCCTTCTGACCACACGCACGCGCTTTCATCCCGTCTGTCTTCTAAAACCAACTTTAATCAGTTTCGCCAATCACCGACATGTTTGATTTGTACTCAGTTCCCGTATAAATGTACTGGCCTAATGGGAATTTATCGAAACAAATGTATGCGCGCCAACTGGTATTTTGCATACTGTCATGGGAAGTTCCACAACTATACTCGCTCGTTTGGCAATAACATGTCTACTTCATATAAGTTGCGCATGGTTAAGAATATATTTGCATGTCCAACTGATCCTGTTAACACTTCATAAAATGTCGGATTTCTCAGCCAGTGCCGACCACACCAGAAGCAATGCCAACCAATTAGTGATTGATGTTCGGGCCTACTGGATAAGAACTCAATCAATCGATGTATCGATCTGACGTCCGCATGCGGGCAACGTGCAGTCACCTGCAGACCTGAATCACTAATCTCTGATTGGTTAATACCTCCACAGATGTCGCTTGTTGGGTTGCCGCTGTCATTTCTGACGATGGCCACCTGTACGAGTTTGAAAGTCCAGAATAATATGTTATGTTGATCCATTGTTCGATTAGTCATCCTCTTTCTTACCCAGACATACATCTGCAACCCGAGCATTCACCACTCATAAATTAAAAGCAAATGGAACTTACTTGAGATCCACTGTCGTCATAGGATTGGGCTGGATGACAGTTTGGAAAGCAGTTGTAGAAGGAAACTGCTTGGGAGGCCAACAGGGACTGCCGAATTGGTTTTTTGGTGTTCATGCCTTTAAAAAATAGTTTACTTGGATTTAAATCATCAAAAGTATGCAAAACTCTCACTAATTGAGAACAGAGGACGGATTCAATAGCAGTTCGATGAAATAGGTAGATTCAGATTGTGCAATCTGTTACAACCCCAATTTTATCAAACGCAAAGTAGCATTTGCAATTTCGAATAAAGCATATACAAGCGGTTCTCATGCGTCACACGTTTTGGTCGTCGTGGGAAGAATTAAAGCGGTATAGCCAACGAACTGTACTCTCGGGTCTGAACAAACTCGAGTTTGACTGTCAAGGGAGCGACAGGCAACTGTCTTTCAATTTTTTAATAGGTTATAAATCATGGGAGCGCACTTTTCACGATTTCAACGAATACAGCTAGTGATCTCCGCATACGGTATGTGCAGACAGCTTATCGAATTTGTGGGGCGTATTTGCATTTCAGAGAGGACAGTGATAAATCTCACCCGACGTAAGATCGACGGATGGGAAGGAAACACCATTTAAACACATTATAATCAGTGCTGAATATAGTCTGGATGAGTTCATACCTGAAGCAAGACTCACAATGCTGGCCACCAAGAATCCAATGAGCATGGCGAAAGCTGTCAGCCAGAGGAAGGAGAGGTCATAGAAACTAAATCCGCGATCCAACAGTTGGGACTGGGGGGCAGGTGCGGTGGTCGTCACATTGGGCATCAACGTTGTGGTGCCAGGAGCAGGACAAGCCTCCGTTGAGGGGGGACGGCCGGGTACATCAGCTATGGTGTTTCTGAAAATGCCCCCGATCGACACCCAAAATGTGCCAACCACGCTGACGATAAATCCGACGTTTGCACCCTGTAAAATAGAAAGGGCATTTATACAGTCTTTCCGTACCGTTTGTCTATCCATTTTAGTTTGTAGTACAAAATTTGAAATTAAACTACCATCCATTTCGATGTTGATGGAGCGCTCTTACCAGCCTTCTTAGTGGAAGTATTTGGAAGAGAAGTATGGATACTGACACGCAGTGTTACGGTTGTTCAGAATTACTAGTCTATTTCTGTCTTCTCATGACATTCTGCGCAGCTAGCTCTGATTCTGGGCAGGAATCTTGTTTGCTTTGAAACATGTCCCTTGTTCCTTTATTTTTGTTTAAAGCATGCAGAATTCCCAGAAAATAATAACGACTTTGCACGTAACTGCCACTATCAAAGTTAAGTTCCCAGAGAAAAGTGAAGGAAAACAATCCACCATCACCTGTACGCCTCGCCGTATTCGGGCTATTCGCCAGTTATGACCACTAACCCGGAGTTTTGATTGGTCATCACGAAATTTAAAACCCATGCAGTGCACCATAAGCCTCCTTTGCCGTTTTCTTCAAACCTTTCTGTGCACACAGTCAAGTGTATAATCGACGGGCTGTGAGAATTATTGAGATAATTTTAGCTGTTAACTGGCGGTTTGAATGGACCAAATCACCCAAAAGTGGGACGCAAACCCCAATTGAGGTGACAGCACACAATAAAGGAGGACACCAACACTCACTCATAATCGATTTTTGCACTAGACACTTTGGTAATGGAGGGCCGCCCAAGCTTTTCGAAACGTCAACCAAAAAAGTCCCTAGATCCGCTGAGCGCTCCCCTTTTCCTCAGATTATCGACCCGGCTCCCTTACTTTTGCTAGCCTGAATGTACTGTTTGGTTTTGTAGTCCACCAACGGACCGTGACTTCAGCTTGTCTGCAGTGCAGTCGAAGTGGACCTCCTTATTTTTGCGCGTCATGCTAGGTTTGCCTGGGAGATGAGAGATGCGTCAGGCCATATAAAAATCAGTTGAAGAATAGCAGACCCCCTACCAGTTCCTTCTCCGGAACGGTTGCTCAGAAACAAACTCCGCATGTTCAGTGGTTGAGAATAATAGAAACAGCAATCATTCTGCAGATCGCATAAATGGAGCTCTATTAGGTCATACTTTTACTGGCGGCATAATTCCCTACACAGTGGACCACTAAGCAATGGCAGAGGGGAAAAAGGAAAAGTTTACTTGGTGACATTGAACTTAACTTAAATGTCACAAAGGGTTATCAAGACTTCCAGGGCCGAGGAATAAGCAGACCTTCAGACCCATTCTAATGCTCTCGCGGGTAGACAACGCAGGGTACAGCTCAATTTTGGGTCATGAGTCCTGAAAGTCGCTGCATAATTGGATTGGTAATATTTCTGAAAACGCAGACATCAGTGACCCCGGACTAAATGACAGAGTCCTGAATCGTGTCCTCGCTTGTCCGTAGTCCGCTCCTGAGGATGTCTGAGGATGGTTAACAAGTTGTAAATGTCCACGTACTTCTCCCCAATATTTGCTTTGCAATGTAGCTGACGTTTTTTAAATTGGTCCGTTCAAATATGTTTTGGTGTTTTTTAAGTCTCGTTGGTAGTTCTTACCAAGTCAGCTACTTTGCGAAGTCCCTTTATGGAAGACCAGGGAATTTATTCTGGGGAAAAGTATCGCACAATTTTGAGGATCAATTGCCGGATGACAAATCACTGCTTTCGTATATGCGGCCAACTTTATACAGGTATGAAAGACGCCTCGGGTAACCTTCAAGCTCTTGTTCCTTCTCTAATCAGCAAAAGAAGTAACTAAACAGGCGATGCAGTTGTCTTCCTCCTGCATATGGGTAGTATTCAGGTGGTCCAGCAATTAAATCCTTTGCGTGCTTGTGGATAGGTCAGGCACCTGGTTCAATGGAGAAGGCTTACTTACGGCGAATAGAGGGTCTTAACTTGGTGGTCCCTGGTCTCTTAAATTGTACGATCAATTGCATACTTAAGTCTTTTTTAATCCGGCTTCTATTGCCTAGACTTCATTGACTAGACTGCAAGCCCTGATATATGACCCTGCAGTTTTCACACAAATGTTGTGAACGAATCCAAACTACTCTGTACCTATTACTCGTTATTTGATTTACGAAGCAACAGAAGGCGGCCGCAAAACAGTCGCCAATTCGCTGATACTGGTGAAACCTGCAACGTATGCATTTTAGATAGGGTTCTATCTAGGCGGTAAGGATCTACCGTAGCGCATATCCACCAGACGAGAGCATTTAACCCTTAATATGATTCATTTGCCGGTTCCTACAGAGACTGAAAGATTAATGACTTATGTTTCAAAAGCAGGAACATCGTAGACGATATTTAATTATAGTTTCATCTTATATAATTTTACATTGTAATATGCAAATGAAAAATGGCACCGCTTACCCAATTATTAATGAATGGAAAGAATATTCCCAGTGTATGCAGTAGAAAGATTGGACCTCCAGTGGCCCCAAAAATATTGAGAATTATCCGAAGTATGTTGGGTGATGAGTAAATTAGAATCACTGCGATTCCAGTTGTTATAAGACCCAGGAAGACAGCTAATTTGGGGATGCAAAGGAGATAGATGAGGGCATATCAGGCAGAGTATAGCAGAAAAATAATTAAGCTGACATCCGCAGTAACTACTCTGAAAGACAGAAGTTTACATTGACTTGCATTACAGATCGAAACAGGTTTTCTTGGGTTTACGTGGATGCCAATTTACAAGTGGCTGTCAGATCAAATTCCTGGCTATGGCGTTTGATTAAGAAGCCATTTAAGAAGCAGAGAATATAGGCCAAGGTAGGGCAGATAACCGTCAGTATTTTGGGGCATCCAAGGTTTGAGGTAGGAGATCCACAAAGACATTACAAAGCGCCTACTCATTATGGAGCAGTTATTTGTGACTTGGCGCAGAAGTGTCATGACAAGTAAGAGTTAAACTCAAAATAAGAGTGCATCAGTTAAGTTCATAGCAAACTGTTTTAGAATTCTCATGGCTTTATATCTCACTCAGCAATATAGGATTTGACATAGTCCTATAATATGTCGAACTCGGCAGGATGTTGGCTTTTGAATGCACTGCCTTTCAATCTGATGTAGAATCCGTACTCGGTCAAAATGACAACTTGAATAGACTGCATTTTGCCATTGATTTTCGGTGGTCGTGCAAATGCAAATATATGTATCTTATGTAACTGTAAAAAATATGCCTTCTTTCGGTCGGTTGGTAGAGAATCACACTATCTTTATATTTTATACTCGAAGAATTAGTATAATTAGGTTTTTAAAAGATTTCTAATTATGGGATTCTTTAAGACCGCGAAATGTCCATTCATATAGCACTATACCTGTCCGTTTATCACTGCTCCTCAGGAAATGTCCATCATAGTCCGCCTCGATTGCAAAATTTTATGGGCTCTATATGGTATCTTTTTAAAGACAGAAGAATATGTAATTTTCTTTACGCGGAACGCAAGCACCTTGTAGACTAAAATCCCTAAGCGCTGACGCAACGACTGATCAGGCTCCAAATTGTTCGACAATTAGAATACTTGCTTAAAACCTATTTATATTCCTTCTTCGAGTTAAAAATATAAAGATGACGTCATTCCCTATCAAACGACTGGCCGAAAGCATATTTTTATTTGCGCTTCCTATAAGATATATTCGAATTTGCATGACCATAGGAAATCGATGGACAAAATGCATGCTGCTTAAGTTGTCATTTTTTACCGAGTACGGCTTCAACAGGAGATTGAAAAGCAGTGCATTCAATAGCTAACACCCTGCCGCGTCCGACATAATATAGGATTAAGCCGCAAAATAATCAATATTACAACCGCGACTATGTAATCCTTCCGCCAACATTTCATGAGATCGGCCACTCGCAGTATTCGCAAGGCTACATAACCCGCCCACGCGTGTCGGGCACTACCTTACCCAACTACCGCCACCAGGCCTTGACATGTACGGTATGGGTCTCACGTCAGGTTTACATATCCAAATAAGTCACGCAGGTTGGCAAATAAAAATAAATCTGAACAGTCAGCAAGCGCATACCAACAAGGCGAGAGATTAAGGTCAGCCGTTTCGCTTTAATTTCCCCGTCCGGCTTTTTCTTCTTGTATATGGGCAAAAATATATCCTGGATTCCAACGGCAGCCAGACTATTAAGCCCCGAAGATATCGTGCTGCAAACGAAAAGTGAAGAGCTGTTCTCAGAAGTTAAAGAAAATAACTTAAGGCGGCAACAGATAGTATGAAATAAACAATTTAGCTCCATTGGTTTTGTCGAACTGATATGTCCTTTTCATTGATATTACTCTACTGAAAATTATACACACTGGAACTGAGAGGGGAGAATGGGGTTTCCGACAATTTATAGTCGAAGTGTCACTAATGGGTCTCGAATTTTTGCATATTTGTAAGAACATGTGTTCTCGTAAACACAAATTTTAGGTAACAACATGTACTAAGTCGTTCATGCAGAACACGGTATCTATAGCCGTTAGTTCTCATATGAATGGGAACAACCTTTTTTAAAGTAGCCTAAGCAGTGCCTTCGCAATACTTAGATATTTCGGCTGACCAGATGCCTGTTGAATATTTCCAGTGCTCACTGACAAGCGTACGAGCAACAAGTTATTGCTCGCTCACGAAATTCAAGTAAATTTGTCACTCCCTTTATGTAGAAATCTGATTGTTAAGCGCTTCTTTTCGCTAATTGACAATTGTTGACCCTTATAGCTTATAAGTCAATACTAGAAAAGTTAATTAGGCGTTAAAAAGCCAACCTGAATGCTGCCGCAAAAATGACGGACAGGAAGAGACCTCGAAGGACGGGAATGTTTGCGAAAAGTTTTAACGTAAGGAAGGGGAAGAGCATGTCGTAACGCGGAAGTTCGCCACTCATTTTCGGATCACATCCACGGAAGTAGACGTAGGAAACGAGGCCAATGGCGACATGTAGAATGATGAAGATGGTATTGATTGGTATGTTCAGTAGGATTGCTCTAGTAATTATAAATGAAACGTAAATGCGGTTATCAGGCGTGGGCGTGATCAGGCAAATGCACATTCGAGTGAATCTGAATATAACCATGCATGCACTTGAATATGGAAGTCTAGTAAGCATATTACATGCGTCGTTCGAAGAGGACAGTGTTAAGACCAGTCCTCCGAATGCATCTGTCGATGCAAACTTCTCATAATAATGTGCCTATAGGAGGACTGTTTTGGTCCCATATCTAATTAGGAGTTCCTGCCGTTTGGAACTCAATTTTTGAATATTCACTGGAAGACCGAGTAGGGGCGTTTAAATCCCACATAACATGTGGAGTTGGCACTCTCTCACACACAGCGAAAATTAATAACTTACATACACACATTAATATCTAGTGCATCGAAGTGCATCTAACGCATGATAAAAGACGACTCTCACTGCAGGACTATCTGCGGCCAGGCATAAATTTCATCTCTTTATTTCATCCCTTTGTAACACAGCCCTGACCTTAAATGCAATTTTTCCTCTCAAACTACGCAAGTGACTGCACTTCATGCTGATTGTATATAATTGCACTTAAGATTTCATATGTACTTTGAAACGACCACCCGCCACACCCGCAGTCCCGCACTGTAAAAACGTTTCCGTAACCAAATATGTTACTGGCAAATATTTAGTAAGATGTGCATTTAACACTTATATTGTGTGTACCGTTTTTAATAGGGTCTGCATTGGCATTGGCTATTACCCTAAAATACACTATATACAACAACTAATTTGTGAAGTACTCATGTCATCCTCCCCTGTATCCTGAGTTCTTCTTACAAATTATCAACCAAATATCTTTCGCTATACAGACGGAATATGTACACTTACCTGTCTGATTATCAATCGGAAGATTTGCATGTCAATTGCAGGAGGACAAAAAATAAAATGTGCTTTTCGGAACAGAGGCTTACATCTTCGCTGTCTTCAGACTCTTGCAGGAAAGATATCGCTGAACCTGAGCCTGATTGGAGGCCTGCGTGGGAAGATATGTCCCCAGAGAACCAATAGTCAAGCTCCAAAATGTGTACCGAATAAAAGGATCTGGACTGAAGCTAAAGACAAACAAAAAGCATCAGTGCACAGGCGATCAAAGTACTGATTTGATATTGATCGATAGATGTGCTACGGGCAGCAGCTGATAATAAAGCATTCAAGTGGGGAGTGCTAAACGAGTAAGAGTCCTGAGACGTTTTTGTTTCCAGATGCATAAATTCGGAATAACAATTTTGAACGGACCGCCAGTACGATTTACCTCAACATGGTAGACCAATTTGCTCATTTAAAAATGCTAGTAGAGTTAAAATGGAAGGCAAATATATGATTACAAAAACGCATCACATAGATCTCTATCATTGAAGGAAACCATTATGCCACTCTAATCAACAACGGTTAATGATGCATACGTCTGGTGTCCTAACAAAATTTCCCTCACCACGGAGACTCAATCAATTAACCAAAAAACAAGCGAGGAAGCCAATACACCTCAATCTAAGTTGCCTTCTTGGAATATTCAAATTGGGTGGTGAGAGTCTGGACATTTGGCCTCTAAGGCCAGTCGGAATGCGGAATATCTCCGCGAGGCTGAGACAGATCTAACGTCAATGAAGTAACCACGCTGTGGGAGTGTCTGATGAGTATCTGCCCAAGTGAGTCTTCTAGGGGTGATTTTACCAGGGACTCTGGCCGGTAAGTAGGCTAAGATGAGCAGTGGGTGGAAACTATGAAACAGCCACTGGAATGCCTTGCAGTCAATTCAGTGAACAGAAAAGTCCCGCGCTTAATCGGCAGGCGTGGCGATCTTTCGTACGTTCATTAACAATGACTGTTTCAGCCAATGAGATGTAGGAGACCAAAGCGAACTGACGAGGTCCAATATCTTCCATACCGTCAACGGACAAATCCTGCACTAGTTGCAGCAAATTCGTCCCCGACATGCCCATATCGCCGAGGCAGCCGCTTCACCGTTTGCCAAGTCTCCCTGTTTTGTTCGCACACTCAGGAATCGTGCTGGTCTCTTAGTTTGCATGATGAAGTATAAAGCATGCGGATTACCAGGTTTTGTCAAATTAGCTGAACCACTTCAGAAAACATCCTTAACCCTTTTATGCATTCCAGCAGACATCGCAGACGCGCAGAAACAACTATGCTTTTCACATTCGTTTCTTCTTACAAAGGAAACAGTTTAATAATTGAAGATTGAATGCTCATACCTGACTTGATCGATCTTTCCATCCATCAGTGCCGTGTTCCACATTGTAACGGGTCCACCAACAGAAATGAGCCCCATGACGAGGACCATAATCATGCCGATCATCATAATGACCAACTGGATCACATCGGTCCAAACAACCGCTTTGAGACCACCCTAAATTACAGAGAAAGTATGTTTTTTCTTGAATAAATGGACAAGAAAAATATAAATAATATTGCATGCTCACTGAACCTTAACTCTCGCATATTTGATCACCAGAGATATGCGCGGTAGCTTAACAGTTGGAAGTCAAGTTATTAACCCAGACATGTAAGATCGCAATGGTGACATCTGTGTAAAAGTGTTTACAGGAAGGGGCAGTGAGCTGCATTCACTTCGCCTTTTTTTCCAAAGTTGCGATTATTTCAGTAACGGCACACAGTCATAAAGACTGAAACTGAACCTGAGTCTAGGCCTGGAACTTTTCAATGGCTGGTCTGAGTGCGTCGAGTCGGACCTCCTAAATTTCACGCAAACAAGTCCTCAAGGTGACAAGGGGGGGTTCAGATCTCTTACACGTAGGATCACAATGGAAACCATATGGCCAGGAACGCACAAAGGTCTGACACTCATTTCAACGGGTGTAAAAGTTAGCCTGCCACTGGAAGACATTCGCAAACGGGACTTCTGGGGCGTCGTGAGCGTGCAAGGTGCCCTGTAACGCATTGTGTATGACAGGAATGTATGACAATAATTGGGAGCCGGGAGCATGTACCGTCTCACATGCCCTTACGCAACATTTTTCGTGGTAAATTACTCGATTGCATGTATTGCATAGGTCTTGTGTGAATCGCTATATTTCAAATGCAGTAAATATTGGGACTCGGAAATGACGCACAAATAGTTGGTTACGTGTCTAGATACGAACTGTGTGTTTAAACGATTCATCCAGTGACAGTTCGATCGTCGTTGCCGACGATGTTCACCGTGTGCCCTACAGCAGGGTGAGAGCAGGCACGATGACTGGCGCGTGGATTAGTGTATAGTGATAGTGGACTTGCGCAGCATCTACCGCACTCTCTCCTTCTCTCTCCCCTGAGCCCTGTGTCAAGACATATTCAAGAAGACCGCAGGCGGGAGAGGACGCGGATGGTTCGCACGACCGGAACCGCGCCTAGGCGTAGCATCACGCCTCTTGGTTCTCAACAAACACTTGACCAGAATTTGAGCCAGCAACAAAAACGAGTCAGGCAGAGGCGAGGATGACAGAAGTCACTGGGCAAACATGTACACGGCCTGTATACCCAGCGGGAGCGCAAACTCATCTGCTGTCAGAGAATCAGGTGCCATATGGTACTGCCAGTGCCCACCAGGCTGTGAGGGCCACAGGTTGCTGAATCATGGCATAGTAAACGCACACAATCCTTGCAATATGCTATCAGGCTGATGCCAAATATGACTCATAAAAATGCGTAATTGATTTGGACCATTTTGTGAACCTTATAAACAGCATTGATAAGTGCGCAGATACGATGCTGTGTGATTGGACACTTGACAGTCCTAAAAAACCGTATAATTATCAGGGTCTTAGGAAGTGAGAGGTAGAGTTTATGCAAGTAAAAATTCGAAGAGGATATGATTTAATACTAAATGCATAACAGGAAGAATGTTTTGCGCATGTTTTCTATAACACATGCAGGACATGCAAGGACATCGGAAGTCGGTAAGAATAATTCATCCCAACTAAGCAGTCATTTTTCGGAGTGCAGTTTTTGAAGACGGCCGGAAAAAAGCTCGTTCAAAAGCTGGTATCGTAATGTGACCGACAAATTCTTGGGGTTCATCTGTGCGGTAATTACTATTGCAGTCATTTATAAGCAGTACGTTTTATTTAAAATTGGATTTAGGAATTTAGGTGAATATTTCGGAAGATAGCACATTCACTGCATATAGATGGAGTAACTTTACACGTCTTCTTAATTAAACCATGTATTTTCGTCTGCGCAAGATGGGGTTATTACCCTTTGCCCTTAGTGGGTGCTTAAACCATTTCGAAAAGTTGTCAGATTTAAAAGAGGCATAATTTTATGATATTGCCCAGAATGATTTGCATCACTGTGTGTACGCCTATTCGTACAATACAGTGACCTCACTACACACATATATTCATTTAAATTTATTCGTTTATTTATATCTATTTATTTATATTTACATATATTCATATTGCCATTTATATTTATATTAATAGGACGAATAAAATACCCACTGTCAGAACGTTAAGTGTGTGTCCAAATATTTGTCCGTTTATGTCATGCTATGAGTAACCCTTGACAACGCTGGACACAAAGGTTTGCAGTGTCTTCACATGCGTCTCGTTAAACGAAGCAACCAAAGGCAAGTTTTACAGAATTGAGTTTTCATCCCTCCAGCTCGAAGTATATCCGCAAACTAGAAGTACCCTTACCATTGCGGTATAGAAGGTTGTCAGAGCTCCAGTTCCCAGAATTGTTAACAACAGATTTGCACCCGTCACTGAAAGTGAAAGCATAGACGTATACCGAGTGTGCAAAATTGAATTGTTTGCGTCAACATTATCTTTTTACATTCGACCATTCGTCCTGCAGTCTGCAAAGGGTTTTTTGAAAGTGTGGATTTCGTCGATCATCACACATAAAATAAATGTACGAATTCAACATTATCATCGTGTGATGGTTACGAGACCACCCTCTGTGTGTGAAGTTGTGGCTGTGAATTGTTGATATCTTATCAGTAGTTTTGAGGTTCAGAAGGCAAAAATAATAGAAAATTTGAAAAAAGCCTCATTCTGAACATAGGAAAATCTAAAAATCCCAGTAACACTTGCCACTGCTGTGTTTACCTTAGTGCGTTTTACTACACACAGTACATTTTAGTCCTAGCTATGTTTTGATCTCTCAGTGGCACCGTTTGCGCACAAACATGGACACGTATTGTCGGTAGGTTACTCATTAAGGCAAATACGAATCATCTTTAAAAGTTACCTGAATTTACTGGTGCGTCAACTGCGAAGGAGACAACAAATATTGACAAGAGAAGTCCTATGCGAGTATCATCTCATCTCTCTGCTTTTTAAATACCTTAAACTCATCGAGGATTGTTTTACATTCGGATAAAATCCGGACACGTCCACAGCGTAGTCTCGGATTCTAGTAGGAATTATGAATTTAACAGACGGCAAAAATATACAAAAAGACGGTGGAACATACTTGCACTCAAGGCGACGGCGGGAGCAAACAAACTGGCACCTACGTAAAATACCTAGCAGTTGAGGAAAAAAAAGAATGGGAAGATTACGAACAATTTAAAAGGCAGGAAAGCAACTCAGCACGAGATTACGCCCCTTCAAAGCCCAACAGCTGGCAGCCAGATATTTCACTCTGCATAAAGCTGAAATGCTACACCGCTAATTACATAGTCCGGGGTGGTTGGTTATAAAATACAATTAAGTGACAGCCATATCATAGCGTTTGCTGGCACATTACACCAACGAACCTCAACAGCCAGGGTTTTAATTCAGAATGCGATTAACGCCGCCTTAACAGACGCTCTGATTAGGTGAAAAGGAAACTTTTCATTGGATAAATGGTGTACAGCGTCCAATATCCGGAGTTCACTCGCCACTAAGCATGTCGAAACATGTTTGCCCTCCCCACTCTAGCATTTACTTAATCGCATTTGGGTCTAAGGTTAAACGACGACTGTGATTTCATCTATGAGAATTCCTTTGGTTATGAAAAAGGATTCTAACTCACCGTCTGTATAATAAAAGTAATTGTGGCCAGGATCTTGGCAACCACTCCGAAACGCATCTCAAAGTACTAAAATGAGGAGATGAAATTATGAATGCTCCAACCAACCTGGTTAATGCTGAATAGTTGCAGTTTGTAAAGGACAGGCATGTAGATTTCTGAAACCATGGGATGTAATGCCAGTTGGGCAAGAAGGTTACACATCAACGGGAGGCCGTAAAGATAGACTTCCAGATGGTTGCCCAAAATGGTTGCTGCCGAGAGGAAGCTGGCAATTGTGCTGGCCATGACTGGAAGGACACCCAGCTTGCGATTAGCCAGAAAAATCTCCTGTGCAGTCTGCGGCTTCACTTCTTTGATTGGTCGTCCCAGACATCGATTAAAGAGATTATTGATTTGTGTGGACCATCGGAAGTAAAGACCGACTAGGGCGTAGGCAAGTAGAGAAAGAGCAAAGACGAAGTAATCGGACCAGTGAAGTGTCACCGCCATGTTTCAGCGTGGGGTCAAGTGGGGGTATGGTACAAATGCGTTTTAGACCTGCCTTTTATGCTAGTTTACTCTAATCGTGTGAGGATTTATGGCATGTGCTGCGGTTCGCGTAAGTGCACCCTCTCCAGATTATGATGCAAATTCATTTTTTGCGGATGTAGCTCAGTACACCTTCTCCAGTCACGACGCTTCAGCGTAGGATCCTTCTGTTGCGTCAATACGTCAGCAAATTTTTTTCTGTGTGGTGTTTTAAGAATGTCGGAGATACACTCGCTATGATTGGTACATTTACGTCACAGACGATAACCGTTATGTTTTCGGAGGTTGTTATGCAGCATCCAGCTCGAAAAAAGTGGATGCTTATGTAGGCAAACCTCCACGCGTTAACACAGATATACTATTTCAGTGAGCATTTCGGCATGACTTTATTTCATTCATGCCGCGATTCTTGCAACCGATCGATTGTTGGTCTTCGGAAGAAAATAAGCTAGAAGATTTGGGAATCATTACCTCACCATCTGTCTGCGGCCAATGCGAATTTTGGAGGTTTTAGAATGCAGTAAAAAGTCACTCTTACTACTGTTTTTCGAAATATTAGATTTCAGTAGTATACCTGGTAGAATGTCAGAACTGAAACTGCTCAAGTAAGAACAAGTTCTGGCCTCTACTACAGAACATCTGTGCGTGCATATGTGCATATTCGTGTTTCCCTTCCTAGATTGTCGTTAGAATTCTGATTGACCCAATAAACATAGAGAAATCTCAAAACAATGTCGTAACCGTCTACAAGCATCATTGTCGGTGCCAACGGCTAAAGGTAAGACCGAAATTGTCGTGAGTAAAAAGTCCAAGTTCAAATTCAAGGTTAATTACACTTCGGGTTAAGTAGGACTGGCTGACGACAGCAAACAAACAAATTCCCCTGTCACTGTAGTGGATAACAGAAAAGCGGTGTGTCTCAATTGAAAAGCGCTGAACTTAATACCAAAGAACGCTGGTTTGATGCCTAGGCCCCGCAAACCCACCTGAGCATTGGGCACCGTCAAAGTCAAACCGGTGTTTATTTTACAGATTGTGAATGGCAACCTGTGACCGTACACCCTTTTGTCTAACGGCTAACGTGTGCTCATGCATGCGCGTTCTTAGTCGATTATCGGTCATGCGGTAGTAGTTGGCCAGACACTAGAGACCTGAGGCGGTAAATGACGTATTACCTGCTTGATGGGCTGCTTGACTAGGCGGTGGATAATGGCCTTCGGCCGGTGTCATACGCTCGTGTTGAGTAGTCCTAACATACCCTCAGTGGCCTCGGTGACGTTCCTTGCGTAGGGCAAGACACGAAAAGCTTCCGTTTTTGGTTTTGCTGACTGTCGGTCATTGTGTGCTTTCGACAAATGCATGTATTTATGAAGCTACTTGGTTATCCATTGGGAAGGGAAAGGTGTCACAAGGACGCACGTTCTCGTAGATTCCCGGTCTTTGAGCCACAGTGGGCGTTTAGGCGGCAAAGAATTGCACGGAATCAAGTACGTTTATGCTATGGGGGGCAGTTGCTGCTGTAGTTGATTATTTTCTCTGTGCTTGTAGCACTTCGAAAGGCACCGGTCTGGAGGGCTCTACCTTCTCGCCTTAATGCTAGCACGTAGAGGAAGGAGGACGCTCCGTCACTTTCTTCCTCCAGTGTGAACTAGATGTGTGGGAAAGTGAAGTTCAATTCCCTTTTTAAGGCATCCTTTGCACCTCAGCGTAAGGTGACAAAGGTGTCGTCAAAATGGCACATCCAGTCTCCAGTTCTTGCATAAGTGCCTCAGCCAGGTAGTCGGACACCGGGAATCCCAGCGGTCCTTCCTGGATTTACTTATAAATATGGCTGTAAAACGTGAAGCACGTACAAGTTATCCAATAGCACCATTGCGTTCTTCTGTTTAAAAGGTTTTCCCTCCACGTTATACCTTCGTTCCAGTAGGTCACTTATAACTCTCATGGCGATTTCCTTAAGGATGGAGGTCAACAGAGAGACAATGTCAAAAGATGTCATTATCTCATCCTGGGCTTTTGTGAGGCTTCTGAGTTTTTCCAGGAAATGTGATAAGGACGCGGTTGCGTGCTAGGAGCCTACGATCAGCTAATTTAAGTGCTTGACAAGCCAGTCCGTAGGCCGGTGCGCCTTTCAGAGCCGTAGGGGAGTATTGGGCTTTTTAATTTTTGACAAACCTTAAAACCGCTCTATGGCGGAATCCTGTGGTTTCATTTGCTTCCAATCCTTTTCAGACATCGCTTTTTTGTCACTCCTTTGGTTTGGGCTCTCAGTGACTTTGCCTACGAGTGTTTTCATGGGGTCAGAGTCAACAACTTTATATAACTGACTGTCGTTTAGTAGACCCTGAGCTTTGTCACGTATTCCGAACCGTCCAAGATCACGCCTGGCCATCCTTTTTCTGTTGGAACAATAACAATGTTTTCGCCCTTCTTAATTCTCTAATGGCATTTAGCTTGGCTGAGGAGATGGTTCGCCGTGGCTTGTGCTATATAATAAGAGATGAGAGTCGTTGGCGAATCGAATTCTTCGGTCTTCCGTGGTATCCTATCCGGAATGAGAAAGATTTATTTGAACTGCGTATTTTTCGGCTCTGATGATGCTCTCGGGTACAGATGTGAAACGTCCGACAAATAAATCATCATCCCTAGAGCTCGTCTTAC